CCATTTTACTTCTTTTTTTTTTTTACCATATTGGCACCGCCATATGTAAACATATCGTTATTTGCCCATTCGATGTGACAGAGGCAAGCCGGCAAACAAAACTCACAGACGAACATGCTCTTGACTGTGCTGGAGGGTGTTTAGGATCGCTCCTAATGGGAGTACATGATGTGGTTGCGGCTGTTGATTGTTGGTTGTTGGTTGCTGTTTTGCTCAGACAAACCCAATGCGGGTGTGAACAGAATAATTGACAAGAAAAAATAAAACGCTCCAATCATGCAAATAAGAATGCGCCAGTTTAGAGTAATCAGCCTCAAGTTACTTTTTAGTATCTTAAAATTTCGAATGAAACTTATTTGGTCTCAAGAGGTTCTCTATGTGTCTGTTACACATTTTCCAAATATCTATCTGAGGGAATACACTCAGAAGAAATCAACCTAAAATAGAATTTTTTTTTTCTTTTGAAATAATTTGTAAATTTACAAAAAAGAAAAATAGAAATACTTCTTTTCTCTTTTCAGAAATATATTTCTTTACATTGAACAATTGTTCTAAAAAGTAGAAATGAAATAGAAAAATTTATTCAGAAATGAAGAAAAGATAAACTTTGCTTTTTAGATAGACACCATCTTCTATATTATAAATATACTATAAAGTATTGCGGTTTTTTAAAATTCAGTGCCATTTTTTTCTGAGTGTATAAATATGTGCTTTTTAATCGCTGGAATTAAATTTATTTTATTTATGTAATTTAATGTATGTTAAACAAGCGTTAACTCATTTTTGTAGGCATTGATATATATGCATATATCCAATTTCATGCAATTTTCATAAATAAATAAAAATGTGTTTGCCATTGAATTAAATTGGAATTTATCACAAGTGAATTTTAATTCATTTTGTTCTGCTTGAAGGGTGGATGAAATAAGTGCAAATTAAATAAGTTATGGTGAAAATCGCAAAATACAACAAATTTGAATTTTTGTTGACTTTATTTAATATAAATAATAATATATTATTTGCAGCATTTTTAGAGCCTCAACTAGTATTAATTTGGCAAAAAGCTTGATACCTGAAAATAGCATCAGCTTAAGTAAAAGTAAATATCTTGAGTTTATCACTCGATCAATGAGGGGTTAACTTGCAGCAGGTCTAAGTAATTGCAGTGCTGACATCTGTGGCTTAACCCTAGTAAACCAGACGCAGCTAATGCAACGATTCGTTGCTCGTCAGTGTGGATAAGCAAAGCTCTCAAATACGCGACATGAATATAAATCCAGTCGCCGGTTTGTGGCTCATTATGAAAAAGCACGCTGTGTGACAGACACACGATAATATTTTCCCTGCAAGATGAGCTCGATTTTCTTTTCATTTCTCAGTTTTCATTTTGGTAATAGCGCCACTCGTTTACTTGACAATTTTCATGTGAACTAGCTACAATTTTTCTTCGTCACCCTGCGGTGGCAAGTGGGAGCACAGGATGCAGCAACAGCAGCAGCAGCAGCCAGGATCTCAACGAACTCGGTTGCCAGCTATCAGCGTGTGAAAAGATTTTTTCAGACACACAGGAACAACAAGGCACTTGTGCCTGGCAGGAACTTAAGTAGGAAACAGGAAAAGTAAGTTCCACCATTTTTGTGTGTGCTACGTGACGTCTTTCTCTTGAGACGTCACAAGATTTATTGTATGCAACTTATGTGGCTGTATTGTTTGCACAACTGTACTAGTTGTACATCTGCTGTGTGTGTGTCTGTCTGTGTGTGTGTCTCTGTGTGTGTGTGTGTATTTGTGTGGCTGTCCTTGCCTGTGTGGGTGTCTGTAGCCAGAATATGCAAATCGGCTTGTGCACTGCTGACGACTTCTTTACAGCAGCTGAATTGTGCTTAAAATTTGCAAAATTGTGCTCCATTTTTAGCTACTGTCGATGCTTTGTACACCGTTGCAGAGAGTATACACATTTCGCTAGGCAGTATGTAACGCTTTTAAAACTACATCAGGAGTTATTAAAGATAGTTGATGTCGACAGATGTAACGCCTTTAAGACTACATCAGGAGTTATTAAAGATAGTTGATGTAGACAGAGCTGAAGCAAAAAATTGATACAAGTTTTAGTTGTCATTGGTTTGTATTTTTCCTGAGATCTTTGCACAAGTAAATTTACTTACTTATTTTATTTTATAAGTATTAATTATATTTATTTTTCTTGACTTAGTTTGATTTGATCTGACTTCTAAATGTAATTTAACTAGCTTTTCATCAAGGGTATATAATCTGTTCCCCAAAAAACCAATCGTTTTTACTGATTTTTATTTGCATTCCCTTTGCTGTCAGACCTACAGAATTGTGTGTGTGTTTTAGGGATTACTTGGGTTTGTTATTGCACTTTGCATATTTTCACCTAGCTACGTGTATTTGATTTGACTTTATATCCCATTGCACCATTGCACCCATTTGAAGTCCCCCTCGCAATTACCCCTCCACCCATCATCAATTTAAATGCACTTTTATGGCTTTCTGTTGATGCTGTTTTTGGTATTGATTTGCTGTGTCTTTTGAGTGTCTTTTGATTTTGTTTAGGGTTCAGAATATTAAACAGCACTTGCGTTGTATTATTTTCAAATAGATTTCTTGGACAACTATTCAGTATTATTGGTGTTGATGAAAATATAATTGAAATTATTCTCTTTCTGCTTTTATGTTAGATTTGAACATCGTTTTTGGGTTAATTATTCAAAGAAAAATGTGTAGATATAAAGTTTGTGTATTCATTTAGATATATTTTTATTGATTCGCCTTTGCGGTTTAGCCCGACACTTGGCCGTGCAAATGACAGGTCATTTGGGTTAAGCCGTTCAGGTAACCGGCAGGATTTCTACACAATATATATATATACAAGGAGGCCTGCTGACACAATCCTTTCTGTTTGCGAAGCGCTTAATAGAAAATTCAAAAGGTTGCGCAATAAAAAAACAAAATTAATTTCGTGACGCTTGACCAGAATAACAAAAAAAAGTGAGAAAAAAATATGCCAACTGCTAGATACTCTGTAATCCAAGTGGGTATGTTTTGAGTCTCTCTTTGCCTCTAAAAGTGTGCTTCTTACAAAAGAAGTCGACTCGTTTTCCCCCTGGAAACAGGGTATGGATAACAAAAATTGGGATACGGAAAATCAATTGGGTTACAAGTTAAAGCAAACAAAGAACTTTTAGCGCTTTAAGCGCAATTATAATTTTCTGTAATTTGGTGGTTTCTGATGAGTCTATTTAAGCATTTCCAAAAAGTGCTTAAACAACCCGCAGAATTTTGTGGCTGGCCGAACTTTCAAAATGCTGAACTTGAACACACAGAATGCACGGTGGACAAACCAGACTGCAGTGCCTCAGCGCCAGCTGCATGGTAAACACATTCAAAAACCGCAACAGCCACTTCCGCGAAAGTCGTCGCTTGACGCACGATTCCGTGAACCGAGCACCCGCGCTCAGCGCCAGCCCAGCCATGCACTGTTGCCCCATTTGGAGGCAGTGAGACACAAAACTACGCCAGCAAAAATGTTTAAAAACAGCTGCTAAACACACATGAGGCAACAAGCTCTTGTGGTTGTCTGTCTGTGTGTGTGTGTGTGTGTGTTTGTGTGTGTGTGTGTGTGTGTGTGTGTGTGTGTTTCACGGCAAGCGCCCAAATGCAGCTTAGCATTTAAAGCGCTTTTCAAATATGCGCTCGGGGAAATTTTTGGCGGCTATCTTTGCCTTGTCGTCTGTTAAATATTTGGTAAGGGCTGAGGTAGGGTGGGGGTTGGGTTGGGTGGTGCAGAGTCCTGCCGTTGCCTGGCTGTTATTTTGGCTACGAAAACGGTTGTTAGCGGTTGCCCTGGATATGGGTGTTGCATGGGCCAGCAGGGATTGAGGGACACTTTGCGATTTTTGAGTAACTTGGGCCCTGCCAAAGTTCATGTTATGCTAGTGTTAATTTTGTTGCTAAACTGCAGCCAGCGACATGTTCATTTTCATTTTCATTTCCCGTTTTCCGTTTTCCCTCTTTGTTTATTTACCAAAGCACACAGTTGTTGTGGTTGTTGCTGCCCCTTTTTGTTGCTCGCTCTTGGTTTGAATGGCTATTCTAAATGCTGTAACGAACTATACAAAATCAGCGGACAAAGATGCAACAACTATTTAAATGTTTAAATAGAAATATATATTTTGGACCCATTAAGTATTTATATTAATGATGAGTACAATAATCTAACAAGTCTGTTTATATAAAACATAAAAGTCTTTTAGATATGAATATTATATTTGATTGGTTGGTGACATTTTATATAATTTAAATATGTCTTTCGCTCCACAGCAGTCTAGACGAATGCTGTGAATCTCTCCCTGAACACTTGGTCAGAAGCCAGTGGAAAATATGCATCAATAATAAAAAGATGTCAATATGTACTAAGACATAAAAATGCAGTTGCAACTTTACACAGATGACACAGATAATGTAGATGTGACAACATTGAATAAAAAAAATATTTCTACCCCGTTTAAGACCACATTGAACTTTTGACCTCCAAGGCGAGCGAGACAGGAGATGGACAGGAGTTCGACGATAGCTGAGCTCTTCGGTCACAATCAGGGCTTACCATATTCCTTGTTGGTTGTCTGCTAAATTGTTAAATAAATCAAAATCAAAGTCTGCGACCCACAAGCCAGCTGCCAAGCAAAGTGCCAATTGCAATTGCCAAGCCAATAGGAAATGCAGCAATTGCAAATGGAACAGGGTCAAGGGGCAACTAGGAGACAGGCTGCGTCTGTGTGTATGTATTTGTGTGTGTGTGTGAGAGAAAAGTGTTATTGATGTGATTTTAATTGAGGTTTGTATGTGCTTGCAGCTTCTCTGCGGCAACACATGTCTCGTTGCCTTGCCTCGCTCCCTTCTCTCTCTCTCTCTCTCTCGTCCCTTCACATGTCAAATCATTCAACTCGTAACGGAAATTTTATTAGAACAACACTTACCGGCATTCGTGCTATGTGCCAGGCCAATCAAAATGCCCAAATTGATGGACAAACAAAAAATGCCAAGGAGTCCTCGGCTGCCACCTAGCCCGAGCGGATGTCGCCCATGTCCATTGCCATGTCCATGTCCATGTCCTTGTCCTTGTCGTTGCTCACGACGTCGTCGTCCACGACGTTGTTGGTTATTTATGCAATTCTTGACAGGCATTTGCAGATTTGTTTCAATTTTAATAACGCTATCGGGCGTTTGCTGACTGCAAATACCAAAATCGTGTCCAAGCCTTAGCTGCGTTGGCTCCACATGTCTCTCTGTGGTTGTTGCATGCATCTTTTCTCCTGCAATTGCATAGAAAAATCTATTTTAAAAATATATTGCAATTTGTTAAATTTTGGAATAAACGGCTGCACCGAACTCAAATTGAGTGTCAACCCGTTTTGCTACGTGCAACGCAAGACAATTTCGAGTGCTTCCTCGCCTCTCCCCTAGGCATAATTTGTATGTAAGTGTTGCTGCAAGTTTTAAAACTATTTTTTTTCTTCTTGTTTTTAGTTTAATGCATTTTTCTCAACTTATGCAAAAGCTGCGCATCAGCCAGCAAAAAAAAAATATATCAAATATGCAATGGCAAAAGTTTTAGCGTTAAAAAAAATGGACAGAGAAATGAATTAAAGTTTTTGCCTCAAGCTTAAGTGACAAATGGAAAATGGTCAGCATAATCAAACAAAAAACTTCTAATAATTTATTCTGTTAATTAATATCTGCTTAAGCAATATGTTTGACCAACTCAATTCAAAAATTCTCAAATTCTAAGAATTGTTGGCAAGTTATAAGAAAACATTTGTTAAGCAATCGAGAATTTGAAATTCAATTGTAGATGATTAATTGACAAACACTTTATAGATTTGTGTACCCTAGAATATAAAATGGTAAAGAATGGAGAGTATTGGTTTTATAATTCATCTACAGCAGAAATCTTATAGGACACCATAAAGGGTATAATCGCTAGTCTAGTTGATAATTATATTTTCATTAGTTTACAAAAAAAAAAATGCTAATTTGCGAATTGGTAATAAGAATAACAATAACAAAGAAAATTAACCAACATAATAAAAAACATAAAAATAAAAAGAGAATAAATAAAAATGTATTTATGGTGATTCGAATAGATTTGTGAATGTAATTTGCCTGTCAGTTGTGAATGCCACCTATTTCAAGTTGGCTGCTGTTAAGCAGGTGTCCGGGGATTCCCCTGGATTTCACAAAATGACAGCTGAGACAAAAAGTTGACATTATTTAGATTAATGAACAGAACACACAGTTTGTCAGACGGTCTCTCCCACTGGATTCAGTTGTCAGAATGAGTTTTTTCTTTTTTTCATTTTCATTTCAGTTCAAAATTATGACTGACTCATCCGTGAGATGAGGTGGCAGCAACATTTCCTGTCATCGCCAAAATGCCCCGTGTTGATTGTTGTACAAATTTGAAACAAATTTAATAATAATTAGTGAGTGGCGTGTACATTAAACTTAATTAATGTATTTTTACGCGCTAGGTGTTAATTATTAATGAGCGTGTTTTATATTTATCCGCAGGCATTGATTGCCATCGAACAGCAACAGAATCTGCGGATTTGAGTCGTTAATTACGCAGATTGCAAATGCCATGCAATAAATATATATATTCTGTCAATGTGTCAATTAATAATAATAACAGATCAATATTGAATCATTTGTATTGATTCATTGCACAGATATCAGAAATTCGTTTAAAGTCCCATAATAATAATATTCAAGTAGGCCAAGCGAAAAGGGGCAAGTTTACTAATGGAATAAAAAGCAGAAATTGTTAAAAAAAAGATACTTGAAAACAGTTTATCCTTGCTTTTAAGGTCGCACAGATTTCAGATGCCCTTTGTATATATTCTCATTCAGTGATTGGTAAGCATTTCGCAAATATTCATTCAGAACTCAAAATTTTGTCTTAAATTTATAATTCATTCCTTCATTCCCGAAAGCTCAATTATAAAATCGAGAAGATGCCGTTATACTCAGGTAAAACAGTCAAAGATATATGAGATATATATGCATATACTATATACATAAGCATATATATATATGAATTTAAATAGGACCCGGACCAGCTGCTTATAATTTGCCCAGCACATTTGGCCAGAAGAGCGGTGGACCACACTATTCGTTTGGACGCAAATCGGCATTGCCAGCGATTAAAAAATTGGGTCCCGGTCCGGCCGATTACCAAATCGGTCAGATAACGCGTTTTGGCAATGCTAAAGGCCTTCAGTTCTCCATGCTACAACGCGGAGTACTAAATAAGCCCAATTCGGTGCGTTACACATGAGAAGGCAAATGGGGAATGAAAACGAAAAGTGGCAATTTGAATATGCAACACTTTCGATTATTGTGTATTCCTATTGATAGTTGTTTATTAAAATATATATATATATATATTCCATTGGAGCATAGAGTAGTAGAGGGAGGGGGATCGTAGACGACCAAGTCACTGAAGTGACACTTGGTAATTTTAAGAGTTTAAAGTGCGCACTTGAGTTGCGCTGTGTTGGTTTGTGTGTGTGTTGTGTGTGTCTGATATTGCTGTGGCATTAAGTTGGCCAAGCCCTTAAGTAACTTACTTTGCCCAGTTTAACTGACTGAGTGAGTGACTGAGCGCCGAGCGAACGTTTGCCCACCAAGTTCTAAGCGCAAGCCTGTTATTTTCATGCGTCTTGTAATAATCACACAGCAAACAGGCAGCATCGGACTCTGCCTCGTGAGAACGCAGCTGAAAGCAAAGAAAGGGCCTCCGAGCTGACAACATCTTTGCAGCATTGGGCCGCAAGTTGTAATTGCAACGTCAACCTAAATGCATAGCACGAGAGCAGCGCAGGCATTTTACGGATGTGCCATGTGCGATGTGCGATGTGCGGATGCGATGCGATGCGATGCATGCATTTTGCAGATGGCCCCGTTGGACACTTGCATTGGATTGGCTTTGGAGAGCTGGGGGGCTGAGCACAAAACTGATAAGTGACCACTGTCCAAAGTGCTGCACATCACGTACGCATTGCACAAATACAAACACGCACAAACACACACTAACAGACTGGCAATTGCACTGCGAGAAAATTGAGCAGCTTTGTTTAATTTAAATGCATTTTCAATAGACGACATAGCTCAAAGTCTGTGTTTCCTATCCGATCTTAATGAAACTGTGACAGTTGATCAAGGAAGGTTTAACAATTTTGCAATTGTGTCTTTAAATACTATCGGAATTTGATTTGTATCGATTTTCGCTATCGATAAATCTAGTTAGTCGAGAACGGATATTACAAATTTGAGATCTTTTGCCTTGTGTGAAAGATGGGCTTGTTGCTCAAGCATATAGATTCTATAAGGGTCGTTGATTTTTACAGCACAACTTCATTATATTTTTGAATGTCTGAATATTTATTTGTAAATTGCAATTGAATATTTGTTATATCGAACTTATTATTCCTGTATATTAAATATATGATTTTACTCTGATCATTATTAATATGCTCCACTAAAAATGCAGCTGCCTCAGACGAGTTCGATCAAAGTGAAATAATTTTTTCTCAGTGCATGCATTTGATTGCATTTTCACTGGACTTGGCTGGCAGTTTCTTCCTCTTGCCCGCTGCTGCAGAGGGCATGGCCAGGGGGCAGGGACAGGAGGCCAGCAGAACTTGAAGATTTATCTGCACGCGTTTATTTTAATGTTACGTTCTGGCATCTTTTGCCTTTGCCTTGGCCTCGGCTGTTTAAGTTTTTGGTTGGGTTAAGCAGCCGCTTTCAATGCATTCATTGCCCACTGTCTTTGTCTTTATGGGAGACGCTGCTGCTGCTGCTGCTGCTGCTGCGGTTGGTTGTGGTGGTGCTGTGGCAACATCATCATTGTGAATGCTGTGGCATTCTTTGGTACGTGGTACGTTGACCGCTTGGAATGTTGATTCATCTCCTCTGCTGCTGGCAGAAAAAACGTCTTTTATGACTCGGACTTGCTCTTTATGTCAATCAGCAGATGCAGCAGCCAAAGTAGCAGCAGCAGCAGCAGCCACAGAAATGCTGCCCATCGTTTATGGGCCATCATCACGGGTGCAATTCTTGGACTGGCTTCTTGACTGCATTTGGATGTGCTCGTTACTATTTTTAGTGCATATCGCTTTCCTATTCTATTCTTAACTTGTTAGATGCGCAATTTGCAGGCCCTTGCGCCATAATGGGGCAAATTACATTTAAGTGATGCTGTTGCCCTTCTCTAGACTCGACTTGATCGGGCATTTGGCATTTATAATGCGTTCTTCGTTATTTTTAGCACGATCTTGCCCAGCGAGAAGGCTTCGCTGCTCATGATCACATGATCTCTATAGGCTTAATTATAAGTTTTCGATTGGCCGGCTGCCAGGCGCATACAGTTGATAGTTAGTTAGTTGGGTAATTGTAAATGGGCATTGGTATTTAAGTGGAATAGAATTTAATTGCATATTTAAATAGCTAACTAAAATTAACCCTGATCCCAGTTCCCCAGCAAATCCACCACTCAAGAAGTTAACCCGTCCACCTGGCCACCTGGCCACCTGGCCAGCTTTCCATCTAACCACCCGCTGCGCATACTTAATATGCCGCACATCAAGTTCATTAAATTGACTTTGGGCCAATCAATGAAACAGCCTCAAATAAATATTAGTTATGTTTTGCCGGTTAACTTGACAGCCGCTGGCAATTGATTTTACGTCGCTTACACGCACTATCGAATGGGTCACTTGCCGGTAGATATATATAAATATAACTACACACATGGACCTGCTAAATGGGAAGTTGCGACAAAGGCATGCAATGTGAGCTGACCTTAAGCGTAATTCATTTTTATTGTACTCTTTTTTTATCTATTGAATTTATTATTTGTTAGAAGTGGCGTCTGCTTCATTGGCTTTTGATAGTCGGTGACACTTGATGTCGCCATGTAAATCGAATTCCTTAGCTGAGCTTTACTTAGCTTAGCCTCCCCTTGGCATCAGACCCTCAGAGCACGTGACTAGCTTTGCTGATTTCCTACGAAACTACGCACATATTTTCAACACTTGCCAATTTGGTTTACTATAATTTGCTCATTAAAAAAAACTCCCAAAAAAAGCAGAAAAAAACCAATGTAATCAAATAGAGAACGAACACATTTTCAAGTATGCAGCTGTATTTAAATAAATGTTTTTTGTAGTTACCCAATTTATTTTATGTTTTTTTTTTTTACAAACTTTAGTTAATATTATGCCATATATATTTTTTTAAAAATTATCCTAAGCCATAAAATCCTTATTAAGTTGTCCAACATTCTACCCATGGGCGGCATGGGCCAGCTTAAGTGTAAGCCACATAAAAATAAAGGCAGAAAACTTTAAGACACATTTTACGTGTGCTCAAAATGGGCAACAGACCCAAAAATAATTTCATCTTCCTGCTGCTGTCGTTGCTTTAAGAAATAAAGTAGAGCAATGCCCGAAAGAAGCGCGTCACGTATTCGATGTCAACAGCAACAACAAACAAAACACCAACAATATCAACAACATCGAAAAACAGCTACAATAACAACAACTATAATAAAAGTGCATTCACATTTTGAAAGTAAAGCGAGCGAACTTTCAATGTTTTGTCAATGATGGGTATTTGGTTTGGCAAATGGAGCCAATGCGACGCGCACACGCTATCCTTAAAGATACATTTGTATCTTTGTATCGACAAGAGCGAATCGGGGACAAGCTAAGCTCAATATATTTATGTGTTTCACATTGCTTTAGATGTGTTACCAACACAATTTTGTTGACACTCAATTATCCTCGGGTTCTTGTTCTACAGTCTCTGATCTGATATAATCCCTCGCATCCCCTGCTCGTCTCTCTCATCTACTCTCCCCTCGTTGTCGACTGGTTGTCGTCTGTCATCAGGTGAAAGGCAAATAAAATGTCAATTTGTATTGGCAGTTGTGTCCCTTTTTGTGCATGTGCCTGCTGGCTTGGATACCTTATTATTCATACGCATATTACACATTCAGATTTTATACACAGCAACCCCCAACCACCAACCCCCAACCCCCAACACACCTCCACAGTTAACCATATTCAGTCAGTTGGCATCGTCCTTTTTTTTGTGTGTGTCAATAATCATTTACATGTTTATCTAATTTGTGGGGATTTTGCGGGCAGGTTTTGGCCTCAACAACTTAAAGCTAAGAAAGTTTAAGTTGTGCACTAAAGTACACAAGAAACAGAATTTTATTGGTGCCACACAGATACACCAATACACACATACACAGAGAAACACTGTGTATCTCTTGCATTGGGCTACTTTAAGTTCGGCTGGCAGCCAAGGCGAACTCATAAAATTATATGAATTTCGCTTCGTTTTTTTTTTTTGCTGCCAAACGAGTTGATGACCAAGCCGCAAAAATTTCAGTAAAGTTGTAAATCGAACACTAAAAACAGACTCATCAAGAAAAAAAATAAATGAGAGAAAAAAAATTCGCCAAAAATGCGACCAATGCCAATCGAACAACTTTGTTGTTGCTTTTGTTGATGGTATCATTGCAATGTTATAGTTACAATTATTGTTATTTCCATATGGGGAAATTACATTTTGTTGCCCAGTGACAGAAGCAACAAACCAAATTTGCCACACATATGCACATAAAGGGTGCTCCTCTGCTGGCACTCGTAAAAAATTGATTATTACAACAGCTGCTCCCAGACAAAAAATACATCAATCCGTAAACATATGTGTAAGCCTGAAATACTTGGTAACTGAATTCGTGACAAGTGTATTAAACAATAATATCAAATCAGTCTTATCGGATAGAACTAGAATTTAATATTTATACAACTAATATTAATTCATAAATTCCCAAATTTCTCTTTAACTTCTTTTTTTTGTTAGAAACACAGAATAATACAATTTTTAAATTTCAAAGTTAAGTTAAAGAAAATAGAAAAATATTACTTTAAAAATAACAAATCTCCCTTTAAGGCAAGTAAATAACATCTGAAATGACTTCTTCTTTGTAGAAAATATAAAAATATAATATAATTGTATTTTATAAATAGCAAAATTGCCTTTATGCCAAATAACTTCTGTAGAAAAGATATAATATATATATATGCATGCAGCTCCCTGTTCATATGTAAATAACTGAATAATAAATCAAAAAAATGGCTGTCAGCCACGATTCAAATCATGAACCACTCACTTTACGCTTGGCTGATCTATATATATATTGAAATGCATATGTTTATTCATAAATTTTTTGGACAGCTACTCGGCTTTATTAAGTTAAGATAGTTAATGTATGCAAACATTTTTAAATTTTCAGTCATTGATATAATATTTACTTTTAGAACTATTTACATTTTTAAATAATAAATAAACACAATAATTCCTTATAC